ATTGGAGAAAGCAGAGGTGTTTGCAATGAGCAAGTAAATGATGCTCCAACCAAGCCCAGAGTTGTTCATTCTGTTGTGCCCGCGGTTTCAGAATTCTGTGGCGCGAATTTTGTGAAAGGGATCCAACGCGAATATATAGGAAAAGTATGGTCGGATCTTCGGGGTAAGCTTTTGAGGACACCAGCTCGTTTGCTTTCCTCGATTAAGGACGAGGTTGATGTAGTGCTCCAATCAATGAAAAGCTTTCAGTATTCTGACATTTCTCATATTGAGGACCGAGTCAAGGCCCTTTTTGATGACGCTGCATCTTTTGATGAGGCATGTTCTGACTCGATCGACGCCGTATCCTTGGCGGCTCGTAACCAACAGATTTCCGAGATCAAAGATCGATTGTCGCACCTTGAGACGAGGCATGTTGAGGAGTGCGAAGCTATCAAGGAGTTAGAGGGGTGTGTGGAGAATATTGACGTGAAGCTTCGCTCTTTACAAGAGCAAAAAAGAGAGAATATTTCCCTTATTAAGCGACGCCAAGGAGTTGATGAGAATATCACCATTCAAATTGCTGAAGTCAAGGATGAACTCGCCGCTGTAGAGAATGTCCCCGCGCAAGACGAAGAATACTTAAAAAGTTTAGAAGAGTTGTTGGATATTAGCAAAGAAGAGTTGTATAATCTTAATGTTTAAGATCAATTTGTACTCTTCATTTTGATTGCCAATCAATAAATTTAAATTCTCTTTTCTTTTTTTTCTTTTTTTTTTCGAGCATTTTTTTTTACCCAAATCCTTTATCACTTATCTATTTATTTATTTATTTATTTGACTGAACTTGAAGGTATATCTCAAGCTGCCTACGTACCCGGTAAAGGGATCAAGTCATAACGTAGTTCAAAGCAACTTGAATTTGCTTTTATTGTTATTTTGCAGTTTATCCTCATGCTAAGGAGTCTTGATTTGATTTGAAGGTCTCACGCATAATATCTTTTGAGGAACCTCCCGTTGATTGGCCCTATCCGGAGTCCGTCTTGAGATGTCAACTTGTATGCACCATTCGTGTAAACCTGAGTGACGACGTAGGGTCCATCCCACTTGGATAAAAATTTATTTCCCGAACGAAAGTTGATCACAATGGGCCTTCTCACAGCAAGAACCAAGTCCCCGATTTGAAAGGATCGTGATTTGACTTTTTTATTGTAAGCTCGAGACAATCGTGCTTGATAAAACTCCAGTCTTTGTTGAGCTTGTAGTCTTTTCTCGTCGAGAGCCTCTAGCTCTTCGAGTCTTAATCTGACATTTTCTTCAGTCGTCAATTCTTCCTGGAGAGCAATCCTTAGTGAAGGAATTTGTCTTTCCAATGGGAGGACAGCTTCGACCCCATATACAAGTGAGTATGGTGTCGCTTGTGTTGGAGTGCGGAATGTAGTACGATAGGCCCACAAAGCTTCACCAATGCGGTCATGCCAATCTCTTTTTGATTTGGAGACAACCTTTTTCAGCAAGTTAAAAAGTGTTTTATTGAATGCCTCTGCGAGTCCATTTGCCGGTGCATAATACATCGAGGACTTCTTTTGTTGGAAGCCAAACTTTTCACAAAGCTTGTCGATGTGAGTATTGGCAAAAGATCTTCCATTATCAGTGATGATACACCGAGGAACCCCATAACGGTAAATGATGTTGACTCGTATGAAGTCAGCTACCGTCTCCTTTTTGACTTCTTTCAAAGGAACTGCTTCTGCCCATTTGGAGAAGTAGTCTGTTGCGGCCAAGATATAGAGATGTCCAGCGGACGACTTTGTGAGTGGTCCTACAACGTCCATGCCCCAGGTATCGAATGGCCACGAAGCAATAGTTGGGTGCAATGGTTCCGGTGGTTGATTGATAAAGTTAGCATGAAATTGACACGGTTGGCAGCTCCGTGCGAACTCTATACAGTCTTTAACCATGGTTGGCCAATAATATCCCATCCTCTTTATTCGGAAGTGTAACTTTGGGCCAGCTTGATGAGCTCCACAGATTCCGGCATGAGTTTCCTCCATAGCTTGTTTGGCTTGATGATTGCCGAGGCATCGAAGGAACATGTTGTCGAACGACCGACGATAGAGTATGCCGTTGAAGTAGGCGTAGCGTGCAGCTCTTCTTCGGATATCTGCTCGTCTGCGCGGGTCACTCGGGAGCTTGTCATATTTTAAGAAATCTAATATTGGTTGCCGCCAATCTTCTTCTTCTTCTTCAATTTCAAACACCTCGATGAGGTGATTTACTTCTTTTTCAACACATTCTTCTTCTTCATACTTGCAGGAATCCACCCAAACTTTGCGTATCGGAATATACACCTGTTGATCCGGGATGGATAGAGTCGATGCCAATTTAGCCAGAGCGTCAGCTTGCCCATTCTCTTTCCTTGGGACATATTCAATAGAGACATCCCCGAGCAACTCAATGAGTGCCTTAGCATACTTTAAGTAAGGCATTAGTTCTGGTTTCTTCACTTCAAACTCTCCAGTGATTTGATTTACAACCAGCTTGGAATCCCCGTATACTTGAAGTTGGCGTTGCTTGATATCTACCGCCATTTTTAGGCCGAGGATGAGTGCTTGATACTCAGCCACATTATTTGAACACTTTTCTTTTAAGGCAAAAGAGTATGGAAGGACTTCTCCTTGTGATGTGACAAATATTACTCCGGCTCCAGCTCCATTTTTGTGTGATGAGCCGTCAAAATACATTTTCCATGGTGGGGTGATTTCGAGAAAAAGCGCGTCTTCATCAGGGAAGTCGTCAGACAACTCCCACTCAGCGGGGATGGGATGATCACAAGGAAGTCAGCCAATATTTGTCCTTTTACAGCTTTCTGTGGTACATATATGATTTCGAATTGTTGCAGCTGCAGGTACCACCTCGCGAGTCGATCAGAAAGGACAGGCTTTGACATGACATATTTCAAGGGATTTGCTTTGGACACCAACTGGATAGTGTGCGCTTGGAAGTAATGCTTCAACTTTTTATGGCGAAGATGAGCGCCAAGCATATCTTTTCCACCGGTGAATAATTTAGTTCATTTGGTGTCATCATTCTACTGAGGTAGTATAGGGCACTTTCTTTCCCTTTATTGGCTTCCTGTGCTAACAAGGCTCCAACTGAACGCTCTTGTGCAGCGATGTAAAGCGTCAACGGATGTCCAGGAATTGGGGCTGTCAGCACTGGTGGCTTTGTCAAGTAGTCTTTGATACTTTGGAATGCCTTCTTGCATGCTTCATCCCAATGGAAAGGCACTCCCTTCTTCATGATTCGGCTGAAAGGTTGACATCGTCCAGCGAGGTTAGAGATAAATCTTCTTATATATGCTAATTTTCCTTGTAAGCTTTTTAGCTCGTGGATGTTACGAGGCTCAGGCATTTTTGTGATGGCATCTATCTTTGCCTGTTCAATCTCAATTCCACGACTATGGACAATGAATCCGAGGAATTTTCCGGAGGTGACTCCAAAAGCGCACTTGAGAGGATTCATTTTTAATTGGTAGCGCCTCAACCTTTCAAAAACCTTTCTTAAGTCTTGCAGGTGATCTTCTTTTCTCTTGGATTTGACAACCAAGTCGTCAACATAGCACTCTACATTTTTGTGTAGCATGTCATCAAAGATCTTTTGCATTGCTCTTTGGTAGGTTGCCCCAGCATTTTTCAATCCGAAAGGCATAACTTTGTAACAGTAGATACCTTTCGGTGTACGAAAGGCGGTTAACTCTTCGTCTTCAGGTGCCATACGAATTTGGTTATATCCAGATGATCCATCCATAAAAGAAAGCGCTTCATGTCCTGTCGTTGCATCAATCATCAATTCAGTTATGGGTAAAGGAAAATCATCTTTTGGGCATGCTTCGTTTAAGTCTCGGAAATCCACACAAACTCGGATTTGTCCATTCTTTTTCTTTACAGGCACGATGTTGGAAATCCATTGGGGGTATTTGACTTCCCGGATGAACCCCACTTCAATGAGTTTGTTGACTTCATTTTCAATTTGAGGGATGAGTTCAGGACGGAATCTTCGTTGCGCTTGCTTCACAGAGCGAGCTCCCTTCTTCACACCTAGATGGTGGACCGCAACTTTCGGGTCTAAGCCGGGCATTTCTTTATATGACCAAGCGAAGACATCTTGGAATTCGTTGAGAAGTCGGATGTAGGCATTCATATCATCCTCACCCAGCTCTTTGTTGACATAGACAGGTCTTGGGTGATCTTCATTTCCCAAGTTGACTTCTTCTAACTCGTCCACTGCAGCTTTGATCCCTTCTTCAAGCGCGGCGGGTGCATTTCCTGCATCTTCTTCAATCATTGTCTCTTCTCCCCCTTCAGTGATGTAGCAGGATGATGCAACACTTTCTTCATTATCTTCTTTGGGTTTGGTGAAGACAACGGTTTGCCATTTAGCCTTTAAAACTTTACCGCAATGTATCGTCATTTTTGTTTGACGCGTCATGCGGGATGGAAAGCGGCTCTTGATTTCTTCATCCATCTCCACATATTTTGTTGATGTGGAGTTCGTCTTGTTTTTCTCTTTATTGATCTTTGGTCCTAACCTTGTGAAGACAGAAGGTTTTAGCCTCTCGAAAACCGATACTCTTGCATTCTTCCCCTTTTGAGGTGAATTGGAAGACAAAGTCTCGCTTTCGGTGATATGATGATTTGCAGCCCTTTTGATAGCGATGCGTACGGGAGCTTGTGGCATGTACCCAAGACCAGCCCTCGAACCTTGGGTTGTCTGTGGTGGTAACTTTCCCAGCAGTGATTCCTCATTTGGATTATATCCAGCTTTTGTGAGAAGTTTGTAGGCTTTTGGGCCAAAGCTTTTGTCCTTTTGCAATCGCATAGCCTCTATTTTTTCTTCTTTTCCATTCCTTGTCTGTGATGGGGAGATTGGGTTGAGTGGGGTCTTCGGAAGAGTCAAATCTTTTAGAGGCTCAATTAATGAGTCTGCAGAACCTGAGGCAGGTGTTTTTTCTTTATCTCTTAACTTTGCCCCCAAGTTTGGTTGTGGTGCTTTGACATCTTCATGTACCTTGGATTTTTTGCTTCTGTAGAGAAATATTTGGCGTCCGCAAAGTGTGACTCGGCTTCTGCATATGGCTTTGTGTCTCCGAGAACTTTCTTTGTCACTCCATTTTGAGTGTATTTGAAGCATTGGTGCCACGTTGATGGAACTACACCATTCTCATGTATCCATGGTCTTCCCAAAAGAACGTTGAAAGATGTCTTTGCGTCTATCACGTAGAACAAAGGGTTAGTTTCCATTTCATCGATTAAAAGTCTCAATCTTATGGTGCCAAGTGCTCTTTGCCCCTCTTGATTGTATCCATGTATTGTCATACGACTCTCGAACAACTGATCTACTGGTATTCCCAATTTTTGCAATGTGTATAGAGGAAGGACATTGACTGCAGCTCCTCCGTCTAAGAATATCCGGTTAATCCTTTGTTCATGGATATAACCCACGACCAGTAATGGACGATTATGGGGTTTGGATCCTAACACCAAATCTTCATCAGTGAAAGTTATCGTGGCACATTCTTCACTCGATTTGTCTCTGATCGCCTTGCCACCTTTCTCGGTAGTGAGACAATATGATTCTTTGTCTTTTATGTCAACTTCGAGAGACCCGAACATGATTGAAGTGACATTAACAGAAGCAGAATCGTCTTCAAGGGTGATCTTTCCTTCATGAGCCAACTCCATGACTTTGTCTTTAAAGACGAAACAGTTATGGATGGGATGTCCTACGACACGATGGTATTTGCAATATCTTGGGTCATCAACCTTTCCAGCTTCCTCCGGTCTTTTTGAATTCGGAAGTTCAATGAGGTTTTCTCTGAGTAGATCGTCAAAGATTCCCGAGACGTCAGAATCCAGGAAAGGATAAGTTTTGGATTGCAACTCTTTAAGGGTTGGCCTTGGCGGTCTTTCTGTCTGAGTTGATTGTCTTTTCCTCGCAACTTCCTTTTCTTTACTTTGGATCTTCATAGGTGCTTTGGTCGTCGCTTTTATGGCCAAGGCTTCTTTTCCAAAAGACTTGATAGGGGCGTTGTTCCCCTTCTTTGCAGCATCATATCTTTCGTATCTTTTTGCTTTTGAAGATTCTTGAACTGGTGGTCCGTGCATCCCGCTTGAAGCCATACTTAACTCCATGTCATGAGCGCGGGTAGCAAGTTCTTCGAAAGTGTGGGGTCGGATCCCTTGCAGGATGTATTTCAACCCCCAGTGCATTCCTTGGACGCACATCTCTATACCGGAGGCCTCGGACAACCGATCCTTGCAGTTCAAGCTCAAACTCCTCCAGCGGTTGATGTAGTCGATTGCTGGTTCATCTTTCCATTGACAAGTATTGGTGAGTTCTGTCATACTGACGGTCCTTTTTGTGCTGTAGAACCGGTTCAAGAACTCGTACTCCAACTGCTCCCAACTGTCGATGGAACCAGCCTCCAGGTCGATATACCAGTCGAAGGCGTTGCCTTTTAATGACCGTACGAACTGCTTTACCAAAAGATCGCCGTATGTCCCAGCGTTGTTGCATGTTTCCATGAAGTGTGCTACATGCTGCTTTGGGTTGCCTTTGCCATCAAATTGTTGGAACTTTGGTGGTTGATATCCCAACGGCATCTTGAGGGCGTCGATCCTTGAAGTGTAAGGCTTGGCATACATATTTGTTGGCCTTGAACTTCCTTCAAACTCCCTTTTGAGAGCTCATTTGATATACTCGTCAAGTTGGGATAGATGGATGAAAGAGTCAGATGATGTTTGAAACGGCATTGGTCCCGCCATTTTTTCTTTACCGTGGCGTTGATCCATGGATGTTTCTGCTTCATTTTGGGCCTCCGAAGCATTCTGGTTGGTTGGTTCCGGCTTGTCCAACTTTGCAAGCAGTTTTGCGATGACATTGTCTTGTTGCTGCATGTGTTGAGACATCCCTTCAACAACTTTGGCCAGTGCAACAAGTTGGTCTTCTATGTTTGAAGCGTTCGTGGTCATCGCCGGGGCATAACTCGATGCAGTCGAACGAGTTGCAACTTCTTGAGGGGTGCCCGGTGCGGAGGTACTCTTGAAGCTTTCGTCCTCCTCATAGAGTGAGTTTTGCTCTGTGATTTTCGGATGTGCATCCTCGGAAAATGACAGTACTCTTTTAGCCATACTTCGTGTCATCACTCCAGCATTCATTGAAGCACTTGAGGTTCTTGATGTAGTAGCAGCGACTCCTTTGGCGGTGGCGGCTAAATCAGCAGCTTTCGACACAGCATTGGAAGTCTTGATTTTGTAGGAAGCCATTGATCGTTTGAGAATTCGACGGAAAGAGAGATGAAAGGTAGAGATGTCCCACTGGGCGTGCCAAAAATCTGTAGACAAAAAAATTGTGTTATATTTTTTTATAAACACAAAATCGTACAAATTACATTTAATTTAATATATGCGGGTCCTATTCTCTATTTGGATCCTTTGATTCTCTCTCCGGGTCGATCCATTTTTCCAATTTGGATTTGGGTGGCTTCTTTGATCCGAAGGGACTTTGGTCTTCGGTTTGACTTCGTCGGTTTTTAGGAAACTTTGGTATCCGTGTTGGCGATTTTGATCGTCGACTTTGGATCGATGCCTCCTTTGGATGATCCGACGGAATTTGATCTTTGAGGGAGGAATTTGGTGCTCCATAACGCTTTTGGCGGCGTGTCCCTTTGACTTTTGGATCGAAGAGGGCCTGGTTTGCGCCTTTTATGAAGAACGCGACGAACATCTTCAAGCTTTGGGAGCGACTTTGGAGGCTCTTCCTTGGCTTTGATGGATTCCTCGGTGGCTTTGAGAGATTTGATCCTTCATCCGGCTCGGACATACGACGAAGAACGTTAACTTCATCGATTCGTCAACCAATATTGGATCATTTGTCCAAATTAGTGACTTTTCGACGAAGAACGCTTCGAAGGACACGAAGAACAATGAAGAACATTGCAGAGAGTCTAGAGAGACTTACCCTTGCGCGAGTCTTCAAATGAACTTCGGTGTGTAAATGAATTGGCCAAGGCTCCTATTTATAGGGGAGGGTGGCCTTGGCTTCCTTTTCGAATAGTGCCACGTGGATGGAAAGATTTTATAATCTTTCATTTTTCATCGGATGCCGTTTTCCATTTTTTGACGGATTTGATTATGCACTTCCTTTTTCGCCAAAATCTTTATATCATTGCCTTTTTTGGAAGATATTAATTTATATACTTCCTTTATTGACAAGATCTTTATATCATTGCCTTGTTTGGAAGATATTAATTTATATACTTCCTTTATTGACAAGATTAATTTATTTTGCCGCCAAATTTATTATGGCTCTATTTATGCACGTAATATTTATACGATATCTTCCATTTTAAACAAATTTTGCATTAATGGTTTATATTTATTGTACAAAAATTAACATATGTGCATAATTAAATACCATATATTTATTTTATTGGAATTTTATTTTCTTCCAAAATACATGATATTTAATTGATTTTAGACATATATTTTTAGTGTCTACAATATTGATTAACATTTGTGTCAAATATTTTTAAGAAAGAAAAAACAGAATTGGTGAAAACACCTGTAATGAAAACCCTACCAAACAAACCCTACTAATTAATTATAAACAAGCTACAAGAAAATAAATAAATAATATTGGTCTGTTAATGGCGGGCACAGAGGCAGACATAGATGTAGATGATTGGTTGAAAAAGAATTGATGAGATGATAAATAACAGAAAAAAAAGAAAGAAACGCCACCCACATTTCCAAGCACCACCCAACCCTCCACTACATTCCAAAAGTCAACTGGCGGCCGATCGAGCAAGTGACTCCATCACGGGAGGGGAGGACGAACGAACCAACAAACCCTCACCTCACTTCACGGAAGAAGCCAATTGTAATCCGGAGGAGCTGCTGCTGCTGCTACGCTCTTCCGATTGATTGATTGTTCATGGGGAATTGCTTCGGATCTCGACTTACTCTTGACAGCACAAGACCTAGTTCTTCTACTCTTCCCAGTGGCTCCACCAAGCCGTCCACTCCAGGTGAAGAACATTTCATTCACTTTATTTGAATAAATGCTGCTTTTTATTGTGATTGTGATTTTGAATTTGAATTCTATTGTTGCTGGGAGGGGATATTTCTGTTCACGGATTTCACAATTTTTTTGTTGGAAAAAAACAAAAGATAGAATAGAGCTTTAATTGAGGTTGGTTGGCTTTCCTTATTCGTGCCTTCATGTTCATACCCTTTCTATGGCGGTCGTTGTTTGCCTGGCTGTATTAAAACGTTGATCCGTTATTTAATGGCTGTTAAAACCATGGAATTGATTCGATTCATCTTCGTGATGAGTGTTATTCAAATTACAAGAAGATTTTTCTGATTTGCAATTCATCTGCCTTATTGAAGAATCCTCTCTTAAGAGGAACTTGACTTGGAGAGGAAAGGAGAGGAGAGGAGACTCTTTTATAAATATCTTTTATCATGCTTTTCTTCTTGTGGACGTTGTACATAAATCTTGCTTGAGTTTTCTTTTTCCTACCCCTAATCTGATCTTGAATTAAAAATTTTGTGCCTTTGCAAGGGAACTTTTTCAGAACACTTTACTTCTTGTGATTATAGATGGCTGAAAACAAACTCCGAAAGCTAAACACAGTGGAAGAGGAGATGCCTTTTGTTATATAACACTTACAGTGATATCTGCTACTGTTTACTGAAATGGTGTTTTGATTTTTGCATTTTCTACACTTTAGGAACGTCGAATTATTATAGCAATGGGGGAGGGCTGTCGGTGACGAGCAGCAGTGCCGGTGGACACAGCCGGTTTTCTGCTGCTTTGAGTGACGACGGAACAAGTCTGACGGGTGAAATATTGCCCACTTCCAACTTAAAGACCTACAGTTACTCTGACTTGAAGTTAGCTACAAAGAATTTCAAGTCTGATATGGTGTTGGGTGTTGGGGGTTTTGGGACTGTGTATAGGGGGTGGGTAGATGAGAAGACACTCATGCCGACTAGAGTTGGGACCGGAATGATGGTTGCTATTAAGAAGTTGAATCATGAAAGTGTTCAGGGCTTTGCGGAATGGCAGGTAATTTCATCGATATTGCTGGGATGAGATTGTTTTGTTAAATATGATTGCATGCCCTGGATTTAAGGATGACCCTTGTCTTTTGCAAGGAACAATTAATAACATATGGAGGGATTGGCTCTGATATATTTGCCTTTTTTCTTAGCACTGACAATGCATCGAGCATTTTATTAGGATATGAATAAATATTGAAAAGAAGATATATTTATCATGGGATCCAAGTAGAATTAACTAGCCTATGTATCTGTTATTTCTATATCTAGTAGACTTGGTTACCAGCTAAGAAACATTTTTTGTTCAATAATATTGAATAGTAGGATTTGAACTAAATATTCCACACTAGTTGGGTTACTAATATATTAGCAAGTGTACTGATATGCCATTGAAGTGGATTGGCTGAACTTTGTAATTAATCAAATAAGGGAAAATAACATACATGATCATACAAGAAATATCCATTTTTTAACATTGTGTCACCTAATGTCAACTTATAGCAATTTTAGGCCTACAAGTTCCTTTGTCGTTACCATAATTCGCTTGGATAGCATTAAATGACATTGCAAAAGCTCACTTTCCACCTTCAGATTACCTAAGATTGAGTAGGGTCAATTTAGTTTTGATGCTTAAGCATTTTGCCTGACTAAATTTCATCAATTTACCCTTGAATTGAAATTCTTGTCAATGGCAGGGAAAGAAAAACAAAAAAACAAAAAAACAGAAAAAGTTCTTATGAAGATAATATTGAAATGGATATTTCTCACAGCATCAAATATGCTATTTTTGCCTCTATTGACATTGATTCTAAATATCCAAACAGATGTAAAACTACGAATGCCTGTTGGTTGTTTAGACCAAACCATGTTGCTGGGCGGGCTGGATATGAAAGTCATGATTGGCACAGACTTAAGAATTTTTTGAATTCTATACTAAGATAATTGTTGTTTTCTTGATTATGTTATTGCAATCAAACTTTGTTGTTTTAATTACTCTCTACAACTGTGTATCACATTTCTTCTCCTAGATCACTGATTTTCTTTCCTTAATTATGGAATGCAGTCAGAGGTGAACTTTTTGGGAAAGCTGTTGCATCCGAACCTGGTTAAGCTTTTGGGATACTGTCGGGAAGATAAAGAACTGTTGCTGGTCTACGAGTTTATGCAGAAAGGCAGCCTTGAAAACCATCTTTTCCGAAGTAAGATCTCGCTTCACAACGTGTATGATACAACAACCTGCTTGCCCTAGTCTTACTTGTTCGGGCATGCAGGAGCTGCTGCCATCGAACCATTATCATGGGATACGAGGCTCAAAATTGCTACAGGAGCGGCAAAGGGCCTGGCGTTTCTACACATTTCTGATGGGAAAGTCATTTACAGAGACTTCAAGGCATCCAATATTCTCCTTGATGGGGTAAGAATCTTCGATCTAATTCTCCTATTTTCAAAGTCTGGCTTTATCTTGTCCTCGATGGCAATGGTCTGCACCATGCTTGTGGTTAGTTAATTTGATGAGCATGTCTATGTTTTGAGTCGATTCTTTTCTGATTTAGTGGTAGCTTGTTGCAATTTGATTTCACACTATATTAGTTGAACTAATGTGGTGAATTCAGAACAAAAATTAAAATTAAGTTGAGAAGTAGTGGTTGAAATATTTATGAGTATATATATGTTTTTGAAGAAACTGTTCTAAAGAAATTGATTTTATAAGTTTGTATTCTGTTAGAAGACAATTTCTTGTAAATGAAAATAAAAATACTTGAACCAAATTAGAAAATATATTGAACATATAAGACTTCCTGAATGTAATCTTAATTAGTTAGCTAAATAATAGTAATATAGTTTTATAATTGTCCTGAGCCTGAAAATGTAACCTGAACTGTTAATGAACTGGTTTCTGTAATCTAACAGTGATTTAAGATAATATAGTCTTCAGATTGTGTAGTTGAATGATATATTAAAGCTTAAGCTTGCCGGCGTGACAATTCAATATGCTGACAATGTTATCTAGAGATCTAACTTAAAAGGAACAAACATCATGTAGATTTTCTTTGCTTTTGTAGAGTTACAATGCGAAAATTTCTGATTTTGGCTTAGCTAAACTGGGGCCATCTGGGGAGAATTCCCACGTAACAACCAGAGTTATGGGAACTTACGGTTATGCTGCACCTGAATACATTGCAACAGGTGCGTGGCTATTAAATTCCACATTTTGCATCACATCAACAATTGTGATATCAAATCAAGATTATGGCTTAACTAAAGTTTCCGAAAATTTTGTTTGAGTCTCATAATTTAAAGTTTGTTGCATCATAGACCACAACTTTTAGTTATTCAAGATTAGCCATGGTTATGATTGCTGAAAAATGTTTCATGAGGCCTACAGTTCCATTAGTGCTCTTGCTTTTCATTTTTTCTTCGACAAGCTCAAAGTGTTACACGATTAAACTAATCAACAAGAATGGAAAGTTCTTCTAGTTAAATTATAAGATGGATTTCAAAATTTGATTTGCACCAAATCCAAGAAATGCATAGCTCCTGACCAACATTTTAACAACAGGTCATCTATATGTGAAGAGCGACGTGTATGGGTTTGGCGTGGTGCTTCTGGAGATGTTGACAGGCTTGAGAGCACTGGATTCAAAACGGCAGAATGGGCAGCAGAATTTAGTGGAATGGAAGAAGCCCCTCCTCTCCCAGAGACGGAAGCTAAAGTTCTTAGTGGACCAGCGGATGGAAGGACAATATTCATCCAAGGCAGCAGTACAAGCTGCTCAGCTGACCCTTCGCTGCTTGGAAACCGAGCCAAGAAAACGGCCATCCATGAAAGAAGTTACAGAGGCATTGGAACAGATTGCAGCTATGGAGAAGCCCAAAGAATCCAAGAGCCAGAGCCGGTCCACGCATTTATCTTCGTCCAACCATTCGCCCAGCAGACACAGACACTCGCGGAGGTCTTCTCTGTCCAATGGCTCGAAAACGGAAAGATGACATCGGATCAGATTACTTGTTATGGTGGTAACTCTTCTGACCTCAACTCAAGAATTGCTGTAACCTTCCTTCCTTCCTTCCTTACAGTGTTTGATGGCTAAGGAATTTCATTGTTCTTCTGTTCAATTCTTTCCTGACAAAATATGCATACATACATACATACATACATATGTATTATATTGGTTTTTGTACTTGAGGATGACTGAATTAATGACATGTGACCCTCAGTTTCATTTGTTTTTCAATGATAAATTGTCAGTGATTTTGTGTATCTATCTGTTGATTTGATGTATTTTTTCAACAAAAATAAAGTAAAATTCAAAGATATAGAAAATATCCTTAAACTTGATTAATTAGTGCCTGAGATTAGGAATCTCTAAACACTGTAAGGTACAGAAAATAAATTGGAAAATAAAAGACTGAAATTTAAAGTGGTGATCCCCAAATCTGACTTTGCTTTGTTGAAGTTGATTGAAGATATCTTGCCAAATGATGATTCAAACCTTAAATATTCCCTGGGAAACCGTACTGAAAACCGTCACCCGAACGGTTACAACGTCTCCTTCTCAACCGTCTTCCAACCTTTCTCATGTTGACACGTGTCCCCAGCAGACCAAAATTCCCTATATTTCACTCCTTGAGCCGACCACAAACCTTCCGCTCTTTTGGCCCGACTTCGTCCTTCGTCCGACCTACTTCTTCGCCCGACCCCACTTGGGCCGACCTCCATATCAACCGCCCCCTGTCTTTGATCAAAGGCCTCCGCGTTTGTCCGACTCCGCCTTCTATCCAACCTACAGTTTACCCGACCTGCGGATATCCCATCTCGACGACTTTCCGTCTCGAGGACCTCCCGACCTGAAGACCTTCCGACTTGAGGTCTTTCCGTCTTGCGGACCTCCCGACCTGAAGACCTTCCGACTTGAGGTCTTTCCATCTTGCGGACCTCCCGACCTGAAGACCTTCCGACTTGAGGTCTTTCCGTCTTGCGGACCTCCCGACCTGAAGACCTTCCGACTTGAGGTCTTTCCGTCTTGCGGACCTCCCGACCTGAAGACCTTCCGACTTGAGGTCTTTCCATCTTGAGGGCCTCCCGACCTGAAGACCTTCCGACCTGAGGTCTTTCCGTCCTGAGGACCTACCGACCTGAGGTCCTTCCGTCCTGAGGACCTGCCGACCTGAGAACCTTCCGTCCTGAGGACCTACCGACCTAAGAACCTTCCGTCCTGAGGTCTTTCCGTCCTGTATTTTCCTTAGAAATAAATAAATAAATTTATTTTCCTTGATTTCCTCACGGTGTCCTTCAGCCAGTTCAATCAACCCTATTGCCAGGCCCATTCTTCTTTTTACCTTGGGCTTTTAACCTAATTCTAAATTTCGTACGTAACAACTTGCCCGCCGCCAAGGGACTTTCAAACGCCATTTAACAATCAATGTTTGGAAGTTCATAAATCACTACCCTCTTGAAAAACTCCCTTAGCAACTGCACCAGTTACTACAACACTCCTGATAAACTTCCTTCTTCGCAATACAAGCCTGTGTGAATCACAATCCCAAAACATTCTAACTATGGCGAATCAATACATGCCTGCCCTTCCTTTCGACGGAACCCTTCCAGAAGGTCCATTTTCAGCCTCGAAAGTACTAACTCCGACGATCCGTCCATATTGCACTACTCCTGAAGATTCAAATCGGATGAGGGAAGTTTTGGAATCTCGCAACGTCTTGGCTATCAACAATCCCAACTACCAAGCAGTTCGCATCCGAGACAGCATCAAGACCCATCTCACAGACCCAAAAGATCTGTATCGCGCTTGGTATCGACGGGTAGCAGAACACTTCCAGACCCAATGGCGTTCCCAAAAAATCGACCAAGCAATATTACTGTCCACCATGCCTATCAATCTGCATGAGAATGTGTTGTTGGCCATGTCTGCCTTCTGGAATGCGGAAAATGGGACTTTCCTCTTCCCATCGGGCCCCTTTGGCCCAACTCTTATGGACGTTGCAATGATCGCGCATCTCCCAGTCGTGGGTGAAGACCCTGTAATGGGAGCCCTAGATGGGCAGGAGCCATCAGAAGACCATCCAGGGTGGTCTTTACAAGGTGTGAAGGAATGGGGTTGGACAAAGTTCGCAACCGACCAGCAAGGGGCTCCAGGGACCCCTGTAACCGACCGGGAGCATACTGCCTTTATCCTTTTTTGGCTTTGTAGGTACGTCATTGTTTCCCCTTCCAAATGTGTTCTTCCTTCTCATCTCGACCTAGCCATTCATATCGCGTCAGGTCGGTTTTTCTCTCTTGGCACCCTGTTTTTAGCCAATCTGTTTGAAGGACTCACTAGAGTTAGCCTCCGCTTAACAGATAATGATAATAGGAAATTAGACACTGCCGCGTCGGGTCCTTTTTGGTTTTTAGAACTCTGGTTCCGACTCTACTTCCCCAACGCGTTTAACTTAGGATCTCCACCCACTATGCCAACAGCTGAAAAACATTTGGGACTAGCCCTTAACCGACTCTGCTCAGGACGCAATAACCTCCAATCTTCCGATCCAATAATAATTGCAGTTTTAACAGATACCCGCAGTAACTCTCGCTTTTCTATGTATAAAAAATATGCGGGCTATGCTCCCGACCATTTTTGGCCTTTTCCAGTACCAAATCCGCTTCCAACTCCTGAGCCTTGTCCTCATTCCACTTATCCTTTTGCCTGGGACGTTGCCCTCAAACCCAGGTCTCTTTTCAGTAGCAAAAAACTTGATAAAAAAGGGCAGAAAACTTTTTACACCTTTAATTATGAACCTCAATTCCTGGCGCGCCAGTTCGGCTGTTGCCAAGGTATCCCTGGACCCGTCGCGTGTCCGCAAATAATTTTTCAAAGCCCTGACCGACGAGTCCTACCTAATTCAATCCCTTCTTATATATCCCAGCTCACCACGTACATAATTTCCAATTCTTATATTCCTTTCCGCTCCAACCCTGAGACTGTAGATACCTTCAATGAATGGTGGTCGGTTGTATGGCCCCTGATTTCCCCTGATGAAGGTCGGTTGCTGAACATACTTCTTCCACCCCAAGGATTGGTTCTAGGGGCGGCTAGACATACTAGCACTCAACAACAAGCAGCCGCCCCGGGGACCGGGTCTATTGTTCCAACGCGAAAAAGGAAGGCGTCCCGGCTGCCGACACCCCCGACCTCTGGGGCCGACCAGCAAGCACCAGCGGACCTTGGAACTACGAAAACATCAGCAAGGATCCGACCCCGAATAGGTAATTTTTCTTAAAACCGTGAACCAATTCACTGTATCTTAACTTTGATTTCACTTATCATTCACCAGAACCGACCTTGACAGCACCGACCACACAACCGACGCCACCCCCAGCCGACCAAGCTTTGGTCCCGACTGAGGCAGTTCCTCTTCAAACCCCTACTCCACTTCTCACTTTGCCAATGAGCAGTCGGGCAGAGGACCCGACGAGGAGGCAAATTCTTCCTCCCACACCGAGGAGCGGTCGGGCCAGGCACCCGACCAGGAGGCAATCTCTACCAGCAGTGCCTACAGAACCAGTAAGTTCTCTCATCACCACTCCTTAGTATTCTAATGATCAACCTTGATATAGTTAACAACAAACATTTTCATGATTTTCCACAGACACCTTCACCCATCGAATCAGCAGCAGGGGTCTCTTCTGACAGCGAGGGGACTACTTCCCAGATGGGTCGACCACCATACATGGCATCAAACTCATCCATGTCAAAGGAAGAACCAGCCGCCCTCGCCGAAGCTGACCCTCAAAACGACATCCCTGATGCTGCTGATCCCGAAATTGAAGGTGCCCCAGAGATCCCGGCTGCAGTGGCTCTAGATGCAGCCGCCCAACCTGCAGCCGCCCAGCCAGCAGCGGCACTTCCTCTAGCAATTGAGTGGCAGGCAGAAGAACCACCTGTGGCAGCCCAACCTCCAGAAATGGAAGAAGTTTCTTCATCCGACTCGGAGACTTCTGTAAACTTGGTAAGATTACACCAATTCATGCCACAATGTTTCCCTCAGAAAACACTAACTGTTTTATATACCACGTTCCATAGGGACCCAGGTCGGCACCTCAGCGACCATTCGCAGCAGCCGACGAGTCGGCTGCTATTATACCAGCTGTCTGCCCTACTCGACCGACCTCATTGCTGCCCCCCTCACTGACAGCAGTCCGCCCAGAGGTACCACATATTTTCTCCGAACAAATTTGCAACTCCCTTGGAATATTTATTGACATTGTAGGACTTGCAGGGGCCTTCGGACTTAGCTGTCCTATCGACTGTTCCGGTTCCAGCGGAGGCCCAGACTGTGTTCACTGAGGCCATTAACCGTCCCCTGTCCGAATTAAGGTCCGACTTATTGGACAAGCTCATTCAGACGGTTGGTGGCCTTCTTTTTTACACTCCAACGGAATCACCAGCCGTCCCCATTCTGCATCGGCTGATGGAAAGACTTACAGAGCTCAAGACTGAAGTATTAGTCATTGGACTCCTGTCAGCCGAAACCCCCCAGCCCGACTTCGATCAAACAGCGCTGGAGAATTCTTTGGCTAAGACCCGAGAATCCCTCCAGCAGACTACTGGAAGGCTGGGTGGTCTCCTTAACACGAAAGCTCAAGTTGATGAAGCTATTCAGAAAAAAGAGGCAGAATTACGGGAGCTGAGGAAAGAACAGTCTACCCTGGATAAGCAAATTACCAATGAACAGCGTCTGCTTGAGAAGTATACCAAAAATGAGGCTGAATTGGATCAAGAGCTGAAAACCCAAGCCCGATCCCAATTCATCATAAGATATCAGACGGCTGCCAATACCAGAAGGCTATCCAGGGATGAAATCAAATGGACCCACATAAAAACTGCCCTAGGGGCATTGTTGTAATACTACCCCCTTTGTAACAACAACTGACTTAGTAATCCATTTTTTCTTTCTTCTCAAAACAAGGATCACCTTTCAATTCCCAGTTTTATAGGAAACGAACCAAACTCCTTCTTTAAAAGAACACTGTCTCTCACATTTTAAGAAACACATTCCCAGGCATATTTTAAAAATCAAAACACTGAAAGTGTTAACAAACATGGCGAATGACCGACCTCATGTTCCATCAAGCAACTGGGAGGGTGTTCTTCAACCCTTCTTTGTAGGTAATCACCCTATTGGAGGCCATGCAGAAGACTTGTTACATATACTCAAGCAACTAGACTTCAAATTCCGATTCTCCCAACGAGGAAGAAGAACCATTCATCGCGTCATCCGCCTGATGGAAAAAGTCATTGAGGGGTATGAACCTCTTCGTGACATCCTTAGCCGCATTCCTGATCTTCATCATCACATGGAAATGATCGAAAATCACGCAGCAACCATACTTCCAGATCTTGGTTGGGATAACATATTCTCCGATCAACGAAAAGTCTTTTCAAGATTGCGGACCATCGTTGATCGTGAACATCAAGCCTTAACAGACATGCAAGCACGTACCCATCAAGATTTAGATGAAATGCAAAGCCAATGGGAAAGGTACCGACCAGATTTGGAAGATCTTATTGAGGAAGAACCAGAGCTAATATCCACTCACTGGGATGAAAAGTCTGATTCAGAGGCAGAAAATTTCTCACAACTACACGATGACTAACAGAAATGAACCTTTCCGTAGGTTCGAACCCCACAAATGGGTTCTGAATAATATTTTGTTTCAGGCAGTCTTGTTATCTGAAAAGGCAGGATAATACCTCTTCAGATATTTAGCATTAATACAATCATGTACTCTTCTCCCTTCATGATTTACAATAATGAAAGCGCCATTCCCAATATCTTTTTGAACAATGTAAGGTCCTTCCCAATTCGGTGACCACTTTCCCAATTGATCAGTTTTCTTATATGTAGGAAGAATGGTCTTCCAGACTAAGTCTCCTTTTTGGAATGTCCTGTGAAGAACTTTCTTTCCGTAACTCCTTGCTCTGATTTCACTCTGTTTCACACTTCGATCTATTGCATGGAGACGGTTAACATCCAAATCTTCTAACTGCTGCAACATAAGTTGTTGGTATTCCTTTGTAAGATCACTATCAGTAAATTCTGTTCGGCCAGATGATACTCGAATTTCGGCTGGTAAAACAGCATCTTGGCCAAATGTAAGTTGGTAAGGTGAGAACCCTGTGGCCGTATTTCTGGTATTTCTATGTGCCCATAAAGCCTGAGACAATAACAAATGCCACTTTCTTGGGTTCCCTTCAATCATCTTCTTTATAATCCCAATGATAATCTTATTTGCTGCTTCCGCCTGTCCATTGGCTTGGGGATAATAAGGTGAAGAATGATGTAACCGAACACCGAATTCTGCCAAGAAATTAGAGAACTTTTCCCCTGTAAAGACCAAGCCTTGGTCGGTTGTTATAGACTGGGGAATACCATATCTGTAAATAATTTGGTTCAAAACGAAGTCTATAACTTCTTTCTGATCCACATTTTTCAAAGCAACTGCTTCTACCCATTTGGTAAAGTAATCAGTCGCGACCAATATGAAACAATGATGTTTCGATGAAGCAGGATGTATTTTCCCAATAATATCCATAGCCCATGATTTAAAAGGCCATGGTTTTGCCAAGAATTGCAATTCGGTTACTGGCAAATGGTTTAAGTTTCCATGTCTCTGACATTCCTGGCAGCCTTTGGCAAATTGTATGCAGTCTTCAAAAATCTTTGGCCAGAAAAAACCCAAGCGATGAATGGCCCATCTCATATTGAGACCTGCCCGATGAGCTCCACATATCCCACCATGTACTTCTGTCATTACCTCTAGAGCTTCTTTAGATCCCAAGCATTTCAAAAGTAAACCTTCAAATGATCTCTTGTACAAAATTCCATTTATCAATTGAAAACGTAAAGCCTTCAATCGTGTCGCAATTGAAACACTCGCACCAGGATTCTGTAAATACAGGATAAGCTCTGTTCTCCAATCGGGCACTGTTTCGCAGTCGGGCTCCTGTCCGACAGTCTCCTGCTCGACCAGAACTTCGCAGTCGGGGTCCTGTCCGATAGTCTCATGCCCGACCATAACTTCGCAGTCGGGGTCCTGTCCGATAGTCTCCTGCCCGACCGTAACTTCGCAGTCGGGGTCATGTCCGATAGTCTCTTGCCCGACCGTAACTTCGCAGTCGGACTCCTGACCGACCGTCTCTTGCCCGACCATTCGGTCACATATTGGGTCTGTCTTTTCTTCCATGCCCGACTTGACCTCCGACCACATATCCTCCAGAATTCCTTTACATGCCCTTTGAGCCAATTCATCAGCACGTTGGTTTTCTTTCCTCGGAATAAACTCAATTATTACTTCTGAGATTTTTGTCAGTAACCGACCCACAATGTCCCTGTATCTGCGAAGATGAGGGTAATTGCAAACATATTGGTTGTTTACCTGGTTGATTACTAGTTGAGAATCCCCTCTTATGATTACAGACTGGACCTTCCTGGCTATTAAAGCCTCCAGACCCAAAATTAAAGCCTCATATTCTGCCGAATTATGGGTCATGGCTTCCAATCGTAATTGTAAGTTGATCTTTTGACCATCAGGTCCTTGCAAAAAGACCCCTGCCCCTGATTTGTTTCCAGAGGTAGAACCATCAAAGAACATCAACCATGTTCTGGTACTTATATAAGGCACACATCCGACCTGTAGATTATCCAGATATGATGAACAACTAAATGGTCGGACGCTATCACAAAGAGAATACCCGACTTGTGAAAATTCTGCTAAGAAGTCGGCTACTGCTTGTCCCTTGATTGCCCTCAACGGGGAATGTTGAAGATCAAAAGGAGCCAATTTGATGGCCCACTTCATAAGTCTGCCCTTCATAGTAGGTCTCTGCAAAATTAATTTGATGAGATCCACCTTTGATATGACCTCAATTCTTCTGGGCAGCAAATAATGCTCGAGTTTAGTACAAGCGAAGACCAATGAATAACACATTTTTTCTGGCATAGTGTAATTCAGTTCTGGTCCTGTAAGGGTTTTACTGAGATAGTAAATTGCCCTTTCCTTCCCGTCATCACCATCCTGCGCCAATAAACAACTAACCACTTCATATGTATTAGCCAAATAAAGTTTGAGTGGCCGACCTTGTTTAGGAGGCATCAAGACTGGAGGGTGAACCAATGCCTGCTTGATAGCATCTAAAGCCGTCTGTTGGTCGGGACCCCATTCAAAGGCAATTTTTCCAGCTTTCAACAATTTAGTAATGGGTCTGACCTTGCCAGCAGCATTAGAAATGAAACGCCTCAAATAATTCACCTTACCCAACAGACTTTGGATTTCTTTAACCGTCTTGGGTGGCCGACTATCAAGAATGGCTTTAGCCTTATTGGCATCAATTTCAATTCCTCTCTCATGAACTAAGAATCCTAGAAAGCTCCCGGCTGATATTCCAAAAGCACATTTGGTTGGATTCATCTTCAACTTGTACTTCTTCATTCTTTCAAATGCCTCTTCAAGATCTCTCAAATGTTCGTCAAAACTGGCAGATTTAACTATAACATCATCAATATACACTTCCATAGATCTGCCAATTAAATCATGAAAGATTGAATTCATGGCTCTTTGGTAAGTTGCCCCTGCATTCTTTAACCCGAATGGCATGACTGTCCATTCATAAATACCCAAAGCCCCTGGGCATCTGAATGCTGTCTTAGGAACGTCTTCTTCTGCCAAGAATATTTGGTTATAACCTGCATAACCATCCATCAGACTAAGGATTTTATGCCCTGCTGCTGCATCTATCAGCATGTCGGCCATAGGCATCACATATTCGTCCTTAGGGGTAGCTAGATTCAAATCCCTGAAGTCGATGCATATTCTTATCTTACCATTTTTCTTGACCACTGGCACAATATTAGCCAGCCACTCCGCATAACGGCAAGGTTGAATGAAACCCACTTTGAGAAGTTTTTGGATTTCTTCCTTGATTTGAGGCATCAGATCTGGACTCATTCGCCTTGGAGGTTGTTTGTAAGGTTTACAACCTTCTTTGATGGGCAATCGATGCTCTATTAGACTTCTTGTCAAGCCAGGCATCTCTGAATAATCCCATGCTAAACAATCAATGTTGTTTCTAATAACTTCGAGCATCATTGTTTGTTGCTCTTTAGACAAATAACCACTTAACCTGATCACTTTTGGAACCAATTCGGTTCCTAAATTAAACTCCAATAATGGGTCTTGTGATGAAGCTGTTGGTTCTGTTTTTTCTAATAAGTCGGGCCAACGAAATTGTTCATCTTCTTGGAGGTGAACATCCAGAATCTCTTTACTATTTTCTGCTTTATGTAATAACTGCTTTAAATAGAACTTATTAATAAGAGAACTACATACTTCTAAGCTTGTATCTTCCATTACAAACAAATTATACGGGAATGGGTGTGGCTTTATCATGAGCCATACAATAAAGGTGTTCTTTTAATAGAACATCGAGTTCTGGCCAGTGACTTTATAACCCTTGTTTGGGTATTCCCTGGCCATATACAATTGAGACATCGGAGCCAAAGGACTGGCATAAAACACTGACTCTTCAACTTGTTCTGATACATCGAATGGGTTGTCATTCGCTTCCATTTTGAAGACCTGATCTCCTTCCCAGAACATTAATTGTTGGTGCAAGGTTGATGGCACACATCGAGAGGCATGAATCCAGTCTCTTCCCAGCAAGAGAGAATATGTAGTATCTGCGTCCACAATAAAGAAAACAGTGGAAATCTTCTTTGGTCCGACTTCAATGGTGGCAACCATCATCCCTTCAGGCTTAGTCGGCTGCCCTGTAAAACTTGTCATTTCGAATTCCACAGGAGACAGATCATGAATTCCTTTCCCTAGCTTCTTGAGAGTCTTCAATGGCATAACGTTAAAGACTGCTCCATTATCCACGAAAACCTTTGTAATTGGTTTCCCACAAATGTGAGCATTAACATACAGAGGTTTCAAATGGGAGATCGCACGCTCTGGAATAGGAGGAAACACAATCGAAGGTGGCTCCGGTTGAGGCTCAGAGTTTGAGGTCTTTGCCCCCTCTGTCTCCTCTAATTCACCATCTGCCAAGAAAGCCCATAAAGGTTCGTCCATAGTTTCATCTACCAGACTCGCCCACGTCGGTTCATCACTCATCTGATTAATCTCTGTCATTCGACAAGGGATTCGTGGTCCCAGACGAGATTTAACAGATCTTGAACTTTCCTCTGTAGTTATAACTTCTTCCTTCGTCTTGTTCTGAGGTTGAAGCGTCAAAGATTCTATATAGAAGTCTTCCAGAGATGGATTGATGTTGATCCGTTCACAATGTTGGCATCTAAAACCTT